AGCAGTGTAGAGTAGCGCTTGTTTGTAATTTCTCCGATCACAAATGCAGAAATGGTTTTATGTTTACGCGGCACGATGCAGCGCAACGCATAAAAAGACAGTATAAGTCATTATAATCTGTAATTATGTCCCCACTGGATGCAACAAATGCCTCGTTTATAATGGGTTTTCGTGTTTTTGAATCGGCGTTCCGGCCGGACAGAGCATCACAGTATGGCAAGGGGGGTAACATTTCCGTCACACGCTTGAGTACCTCACCTTCAGCATTATAATTATTTGACCTGCGCCGGACAGAGACTGAGACGGTGCCGCTGCATGTCTGTGCCAAACCGCTCACGGCAGCATCATCAGCTTGAGATCGGTCTTTTTAGAGACCGTCGATCAAACATCCCAACGTGATTATCGGCCGATAGTGATCGGTAGCCGATCAATCTGAGCACCCCTACAATTTTGTCTAGTTTAAACCAAGATACATTTACTTGAGAAGCAAAATAATGTAATATTGGATGTCTTGTTTTATTAGAAATTGATCAAAATGAAGTGAGTTCATGATTAAAACCGGAACAAATATCTGCCAATGGGCTCAGAAAAACTGACTCAATTTAACTGGGAAAACAAGTTTTCATTCCCCATTGACAGATGTGTGTTTTTGTGTTAAGCATAAACTCTTAACACTTACTATTGTTCGATTCATCAGAAAATAAGACTTCATATATTTAATTTGCATCTCAAGTAATTGTAGTTATGTTTTTTTTTTGCAGTGCAAGCAACATTTAATGCCATGAATATGTGATTTTACGACCTTTTTAGGACCTGCAGAAACCCTGTGACACAATCTCATAACACATTTAATAAAGGGCTATGCTCTTCTTAATGGTCATTTCACCTGAATATCAACATTTGTGCGCTTTAGTCAGTTGAAACAGTATAGAGGTCAGTTGATCTAATTTTGTGTCTATGGAAAATAGTGATCTATAACATTATATTATGTTGAATATCAAAGGTTCTTGTGTAGAAATGTTAATGAGAGACTTGTGGACATATTAATGTTTTTTAGATTTGTGGAGTAGGGCTGGACGATATGGCCAAAATTTATATCACAATATATTATTTCTTAATTTCGGTCGATACGATATAATTCCGATATCATTATGAACACTATAAAAAAAAAAAGCCTCATAAAAACGTATGAGTATGTGTCTGTACCTACAAACTTCTGAAAAATGATTTTTCCAAGTCTATGAAACCTCCCCCTATAAAACGATATAATATTTAAGGAAAAAAACCCCAGCACAAATAAATTAATGTTCACCTTATATCAAACTATAGGCTGACATACACTACCAGTCAAAAGTTTTTGAACAGTAAGATTTTTAATGTTTTTTAAAGAATTCTCTTCTGCTCACCAAGCCTGCATTTATTTGATCCAAAATACAGCAAAAGCAGTAATATTGTGAAATATTTTTACTATTTAAAACAACAGTTTTCTATTTGAAAATATTCTTAAAATGTAATTTATTCCGGTGATTTCAAAGCTGAATTTTTAGCATCATTACTCGTCACATGATCCTTCAGAAATCCTTCTAATATGCTGCTTTGCTGCTCAAAAACATTTATTATTATGTTGAAAACAAATTAGTAGAATTTTTTTTCAGGTTTCTTTGATGAATAGAAAGTTCAGAAGAACAGCATTTATCTTTTGTAACATTATAATCTTTTTGATCAATTTAAAGCAACCTTGCTAAATAAAAGTATTATAAATAAAATAATATTGCAGCGCTAAATAAAATTTCTATTATTTCTTTCTTTTAAATAAATTATACTGACTCCAAGCTTTTGAATGCAATAGTGTATAATGTTATTAAAGCTTTTTATTTCAGATAAATGCTGATCTTTGGATCTTTCTATTCATCAAAGAATCCTGAACAAAAAATCTCAACTGTTTTAAATATTGATAATCAGCAAATCAGCATGTTAGAATGATTTCTGAATATTTAAAATAAATGCTTTCAAATAGAAAGCAGTTATTTTAAATAATAAAATTAATTCAAAATGTTACTGTTTTTGCTGTACTTTGGATCAAATAAACGCAGCCTTGGTGAGCAGAAGAGAATTCTTTAAAAAAACAAAAAAAACATTAAAAATCTTACAGTTCAAAACTTTAGACTGGTAGTGTAGGCTGATTATTCTTATAGATTGAAACAAATGTGCTTCAGCCAGGATAAAGAATATGAAAAGTGCTCTGAGTTGCTGCAGAAAACAAAAAAAATTGAGCAACAACAAAAACATGTTGCTGGAGATGGGCTTGTTAGCTTATTATTGAAAATGCAAACTGATTGTCTGCCAGCAGGAGGTGCTTTTAGATTGATAAAACTAGCGCTTTCCCTGGTAATGGCTGTAATCACAGCAGCTCCGCTCATGAACGCTACTTTATCAGATAAAATAAAAATGCCATCAAAACTTTTCTGAAGACAGTCGGTTCGCTTCAGAGATACATTCATATAAAACAACCGCGCCGCGTTTTGATTTTGAAACGTGCAGTGCTCATGTTTACTCAACGAAATCAAACGCCACAAATAAATCAATGCATGGGAAACACTGGTAATGTATATCGAAATAATCAGAAAATAAGACTTCATATATTTAATTTGCATCTCAAGTAATTGTAGTTATGTTTTTTTTTTGCAGTGCAAGCAACATTTAATGCCATGAATATGTGATTTTACGACTTTTTTAGGACCTGCAGAAACCCTGTGACACAATCTCATAACACATTTAATAAAGGGCTATGCTCTTCTTAATGGTCATTTCACCTGAATATCAACATTTGTGCGCTTTAGTCAGTTGAAACAGTATAGAGGTCAGTTGATCTAATTTTGTGTCTATGGAAAATAGTGATCTATAACATTATATTATGTTGAATATCAAAGGTTCTTGTGTAGAAATGTTAATGAGAGACTTGTGGACATATTAATGTTTTTTAGATTTGTGGAGTAGGGCTGGACGATATGGCCAAAATTTATATCACAATATATTATTTCTTAATTTCGGTCGATACGATATAATTCCGATATCATTATGAACACTATAAAAAAAAAAAGCCTCATAAAAACGTATGAGTATGTGTCTGTACCTACAAACTTCTGAAAAATGATTTTTCCAAGTCTATGAAACCTCCCCCTATAAAACGATATAATATTTAAGGAAAAAAACCCCAGCACAAATAAATTAATGTTCACCTTATATCAAACTATAGGCTGACATACACTACCAGTCAAAAGTTTTTGAACAGTAAGATTTTTAATGTTTTTTAAAGAATTCTCTTCTGCTCACCAAGCCTGCATTTATTTGATCCAAAATACAGCAAAAGCAGTAATATTGTGAAATATTTTTACTATTTAAAACAACAGTTTTCTATTTGAAAATATTCTTAAAATGTAATTTATTCCGGTGATTTCAAAGCTGAATTTTTAGCATCATTACTCGTCACATGATCCTTCAGAAATCCTTCTAATATGCTGCTTTGCTGCTCAAAAACATTTATTATTATGTTGAAAACAAATTAGTAGAATTTTTTTTCAGGTTTCTTTGATGAATAGAAAGTTCAGAAGAACAGCATTTATCTTTTGTAACATTATAATCTTTTTGATCAATTTAAAGCAACCTTGCTAAATAAAAGTATTATAAATAAAATAATATTGCAGCGCTAAATAAAATTTCTATTATTTCTTTCTTTTAAATAAATTATACTGACTCCAAGCTTTTGAATGCAATAGTGTATAATGTTATTAAAGCTTTTTATTTCAGATAAATGCTGATCTTTGGATCTTTCTATTCATCAAAGAATCCTGAACAAAAAATCTCAACTGTTTTAAATATTGATAATCAGCAAATCAGCATGTTAGAATGATTTCTGAATATTTAAAATAAATGCTTTCAAATAGAAAGCAGTTATTTTAAATAATAAAATTAATTCAAAATGTTACTGTTTTTGCTGTACTTTGGATCAAATAAACGCAGCCTTGGTGAGCAGAAGAGAATTCTTTAAAAAAACAAAAAAAACATTAAAAATCTTACAGTTCAAAACTTTAGACTGGTAGTGTAGGCTGATTATTCTTATAGATTGAAACAAATGTGCTTCAGCCAGGATAAAGAATATGAAAAGTGCTCTGAGTTGCTGCAGAAAACAAAAAAAATTGAGCAACAACAAAAACATGTTGCTGGAGATGGGCTTGTTAGCTTATTATTGAAAATGCAAACTGATTGTCTGCCAGCAGGAGGTGCTTTTAGATTGATAAAACTAGCGCTTTCCCTGGTAATGGCTGTAATCACAGCAGCTCCGCTCATGAACGCTACTTTATCAGATAAAATAAAAATGCCATCAAAACTTTTCTGAAGACAGTCGGTTCGCTTCAGAGATACATTCATATAAAACAACCGCGCCGCGTTTTGATTTTGAAACGTGCAGTGCTCATGTTTACTCAACGAAATCAAACGCCACAAATAAATCAATGCATGGGAAACACTGGTAATGTATATCGAAATATTGGAAATGTGTTTAAAAATTATATCACCGTTATTGAAAAAAATGATATCGCGATACATATTGAATTATTGTCCAGCCCTATTGTGGAGCTATAATATTCTGAAGTGAAAAGGGAACGGCTTCTTGTATAAGTTTACATTTTGTGCTATTCCCCTTAAAAACACATCATTCTGTACATGCTACACTTATATATCCACATCTTCCCACACCTTAGACTACAAGTAAAAAATCCGCACAAAACCCCTTATAATCTTGCAAGATGATTGGGCTCTTACTTCTCTCTGTTGTTCTCGTCGTTCATGTCGCTGCTGATGGCCAAACCTCATCCTGCCATTACTGTACACATGCACATTACCTAGAAACGAAAAAAAGAAATGGCATAATGACACATTTCACGGTTTTGAATGTATTCTAACACAACCACTGACATGTTTCTAAAACCACATTTAAAAAGGTCACAGCACTCACTGGTAGGAAATCCACCTCCAAAGAACATATTGAAAAGGTCCTCAGGGGAAATATCTGCTTCGAAATTTCTGTGATCGGTCCTGTGCCTGTGAGTCGGATGGGCTTTTTCTTCACCATAAACATCATACTGCCTTCTTTTTTCAGGGTTACTTAGAACTGCGTAAGCATTACCTATAGCTGTTGAAGACCAGGAAACCAAACATATGAGAAGACCACATGAAAACGCTCTCCATACTGATTGCAGAAATTCTAAATACACAGGTTTAAGTCATGTATTTTACCTTTAAATGCTTCAGTGGCACCAGGCGCATGGTTTTTATCTGGATGAAACTTTAGAGCTAGCTTTCGGTACGCTTTTTTCAGATCCTCCTCAGAGGCTTCTTTACTGACTCCAAGAATCTCATAATAGTCTTTACATCTCTTAATTCTGCATCAAGAGAACGACAGATCACAGTAGAAAAGGAAGAAAGTAGTCAGGCGATGAAACCACTATGCACACATATAAACCAAATGTTCATCTCATAAATAATGACCATGTCCCAGACTTTTAGGCAAGCAGTCAAACAAATAACAGACCTTTTGACGGCATCCAGCTGCTCTGATGTGTATGGTTTGGCTGACTCTGTGGCACCCTGTCCAGAGGAGTGATCTTCAGTGCTGCAGAAAACAAAAAAAATTGAGCAACAACAAAAACATGTTGCTGGAGATGGGCTTGTTAGCTTATTATTGAAAATGCAAACTGATTGTCTGCCAGCAGGAGGTGCTTTTAGATTGATAAAACTAGCGCTTTCCCTGGTAATGGCTGTAATCACAGCAGCTCCGCTCATGAACGCTACTTTATCAGATAAAATAAAAATGCCATCAAAACTTTTCTGAAGACAGTCGGTTCGCTTCAGAGATACATTCATATAAAACAACCGCGCCGCGTTTTGATTTTGAAACGTGCAGTGCTCATGTTTACTCAACGAAATCAAACGCCACAAATAAATCAATGCATGGGAAACACTGGTAATGTATATCGAAATATTGGAAATGTGTTTAAAAATTATATCACCGTTATTGAAAAAAATGATATCGCGATACATATTGAATTATTGTCCAGCCCTATTGTGGAGCTATAATATTCTGAAGTGAAAAGGGAACGGCTTCTTGTATAAGTTTACATTTTGTGCTATTCCCCTTAAAAACACATCATTCTGTACATGCTACACTTATATATCCACATCTTCCCACACCTTAGACTACAAGTAAAAAATCCGCACAAAACCCCTTATAATCTTGCAAGATGATTGGGCTCTTACTTCTCTCTGTTGTTCTCGTCGTTCATGTCGCTGCTGATGGCCAAACCTCATCCTGCCATTACTGTACACATGCACATTACCTAGAAACGAAAAAAAGAAATGGCATAATGACACATTTCACGGTTTTGAATGTATTCTAACACAACCACTGACATGTTTCTAAAACCACATTTAAAAAGGTCACAGCACTCACTGGTAGGAAATCCACCTCCAAAGAACATATTGAAAAGGTCCTCAGGGGAAATATCTGCTTCGAAATTTCTGTGATCGGTCCTGTGCCTGTGAGTCGGATGGGCTTTTTCTTCACCATAAACATCATACTGCCTTCTTTTTTCAGGGTTACTTAGAACTGCGTAAGCATTACCTATAGCTGTTGAAGACCAGGAAACCAAACATATGAGAAGACCACATGAAAACGCTCTCCATACTGATTGCAGAAATTCTAAATACACAGGTTTAAGTCATGTATTTTACCTTTAAATGCTTCAGTGGCACCAGGCGCATGGTTTTTATCTGGATGAAACTTTAGAGCTAGCTTTCGGTACGCTTTTTTCAGATCCTCCTCAGAGGCTTCTTTACTGACTCCAAGAATCTCATAATAGTCTTTACATCTCTTAATTCTGCATCAAGAGAACGACAGATCACAGTAGAAAAGGAAGAAAGTAGTCAGGCGATGAAACCACTATGCACACATATAAACCAAATGTTCATCTCATAAATAATGACCATGTCCCAGACTTTTAGGCAAGCAGTCAAACAAATAACAGACCTTTTGACGGCATCCAGCTGCTCTGATGTGTATGGTTTGGCTGACTCTGTGGCACCCTGTCCAGAGGAGTGATCTTCAGTGTTGTGACTTCTGTTTCGTAATCCATCATTTTCTCTAACGTATTCTTCACTTGTAGAAGGTCCTCCATTCTCAGCAGTAGACTCTAGTAAAGCTGAGACAAGAACACTTTCATTTAAATAAGAAGCACTGGTGTCTGTCTTTCCATCCATCCATCCATCCATCCTATTAAACAATGCGCTTACATTTAACCTGGCCTCTGCTGAAACTAGCAGTCATTATGCCAAAAACATGCTTCAGCTATTCAATAACCAGCCGCTGTGCTGTCAATACTGTAAAAAGAAGAAAGGAAAGGAAACCCAAACTACCTGCAGACTGGCACACTCTCTCCTGGGAAGAGAGACTGGCTGATACTGTGACTCCTCTGTGGAGAATGAGTTATGAGGAGCAGCTCCAGTGGAAACAAGAGCAGCAGCACAAGATCTTACTTGAGATGACAAAGCAACTAGCTCAGGATTCAATGCACCCTTTTTCAAATGACTTAAGATTCCCCCTCCTTCCCATAGTAGCCTCACCAGTGAGTGATGGATACCGCAACAAATCAACTTTCTCTGTCAACATAGGGGTAGATGGGAATCCAAAAACGGTTGGATTTTATATCGGCACTGGTAAAGCAGGCAACATTGTCTGTGTCCACGGTGACCATCTCCTGAACATGCCTTCAAAACACAAGATGGTTGCAAGGCACTATGAAGATTTTATACGCCTCTCACCACTCAAACCATGCATTTTACTTCACGATGGTGGTCACTGGAGAGAAATCACGATAAGAACAAATTCCGCCGGTCACACGATGGCCATAGTTTACATCCATCCCCAAACCCTAACGGCTGAGGAGATAGCCGTCCATAAAGCTGCTCTGGTGGAGTACTTCACACAAGGTCCAGGAGCAGTTTGTCAACTGGATTCTCTGTACTTCCAGGAGACCACAATGACCCGTTGCAGTCATGAACAATCCCCCTATCAGCTTCTGCATGGACAGCCCCATATCTTTGAGGAGGTGCTTGGCTTCAGGTTCCGCATTTCCGCTGATTCTTTCTTCCAGGTGAATCGGGGAGCGGCAGAAGCTTTGTACAAGACTGTTGCGGAGCTGAATTGGGCTTGTGTTGGGGGCACTCTGCTGGACGTCTGCTGTGGTACTGGAGCTATTGGCATTTCGTTATCGCCACAGATGGAGAGAGTCATTGGCATCGAGCTCATTGAGCAGGCGGTTGAAGACGCCAAGTTTAATGCAGCACTAAACAGAGTTCATAATTGTGAATATCTCTCAGGCAAAGCGGAAGTTGTTCTACCAAATCTGATGGCCACTTTGAATTCTGACGGCGGGCTGACAGCTGTTGTGAATCCGTCCAGGGCTGGCCTACATTATCGAGTTGTCAGAGCCTTGAGGAACCACCCAGCCATAAGAAGGCTTGTCTATATATCATGCAAACCTGATGGGGAGGCAATGAGGAACTTTATAGGCCTGTGCAGTTCAGACTATAAGAGGAAGATCATTGGAGAAGCCTTCAAACCAACTGTGGCCGTCCCTGTGGACCTGTTTCCACACACTCCTCACTGTGAACTAGTGCTTGTGTTTGAGCGATAGTAGTTGTTTTGGAATTCATTCAGATAAATGACTTTTTATTAATTTTCAATGCAGTTTCTCTCTCGTGAAATATTTAGTATAGTTAGCAAAAACTAAAATAAAATGAAATAAACGGTAACGGTATTAGACTAGTTTATTTTGTCTAGTTGACAAGGAAACATTTCATATTTTCATTTAGTTTAATTTGCTGTACTAAAATAACAAACTAAAAATAAAAATTGTATCGACATTAAGAAACTAATAACAAACCACAACAAAATTACTAAAACTGAAATTAAACTGAAAAAATTCAAAGTATCTCAGTGATACTGACATGACAGATTTACAATGTAAAACATGTTTTACAAGAACATGCTATTTTATCTAATAGCAGTTTAACAATATACTTGCATCTCAATGATATTAACACGTTTAGAAAACCCTTATGTTTTGTTTGTTTGATTCTACAGCAGATCCCTTACATTATCACTAGAGGGTAATATTGCGTCATCCCTCTATTTTGTGCAGTGCTACAGAGATGTGGTGCAGTTAGATATTTTCAAATGTGAATGCTTAAGGAATCTGTTCTATTTTCATAACCAACTTGCCCAGAAAAGCCAGTGTATTTATCTATATTTACAGAATTTGTGAAGTCTGATGGTAAGTATGATCAAGTTGTGAAAACAAGACAGATTCCTTAAGCATTAACAACAAGTTCACATTTGAAAATATGAATGCACCACGAAATAAACATATGATGAACACAACTATAATTTTCAACTGTGCTATGGTCTTTCTGTTTAAGTTTGGACACAAAACCACCACCATAGGCTTCAGTATGACACTGTTTCGTGTGACTGAGAAGGGCTGATCATTTCGATGAAGAAAGCTGACAACGAATCACCTACTGAACTAGGCAAAAACTTTTAAGTGCACCGATTGAGCAACCATTAAGTAAATGCTTCTTGACCAGAGTTAAAAGAGTGAGCCATTTTGTGTAACATGAAACAGTGACATGAGTGCAAAATACAATGTCATTCAATTACTGTAATGTGCTCAGCAGTACATTTTGAAATTGGAGATGAAATCTAGCTATGGGAAATTACATTAACTAATTCCTGTTTGAGGAACTACAGATTTGCTGTCATTTTAGCACATAAGGATCCATAGTTTCTCTTTTGAGGAAATCGTAGCTGTTGTAACACCTGTTCAGAAGAAGCCAATGCTTACTTTTTAGACTAAGCTAGAAACAAAATAAGCTTATTCTTGGAAAATATTGAAAGCTTTGCATTTGTATTTAAAGCATTGTAAAACTCACTATACAGTAAACACATTAACAGATATATGTATATGTGCTGAAAGTAGCTATTGCATAGCGTGTGCATAGTTATACAAACAGTGTATAACACGCATTGACTTAGGAGATATGGGTTCGAAGGGCAAAGACCTGTATTTTCTAATTTACTTATGACCATTAAAAAAACAAGCTTTGTAGAGATGTGATACGGATCTGTCTCACACAGTGAGAGTGCTTGCTATCAAACAGCAGCGTACATGGCGTCCACAACATACGCATCAGATAACCAGGCAACCAATGAAACTGGTAGGGCTAGACTGCATCCTCTCAGCCTCGTCCAATTGCATCATTTTAAACGAAACCAGAGGCTTAGACACGCAAAAAATAAAAGAAAAAATTCTATCACTAGAACCGGGAACCTGCCTGCTAGCGTCATCAAATTGCGATACTTCTTTATGGTTGCATTGCAAACAAGGTAAGCGAGTTACAGATGCGCGAATGCGGGTTTATTGAGACAGAAGTCACACCCATTTTGTGCAGAATTTAATGTATTCATTGTATGAGGGCTTTGTCTTTTATAATAATGATGACTGAAATGGCAGATGGCACTTCTTTGCCGTCGGTCGTGAAAATATAATCGACTCGTTCTCTTTACAGGAGACAATAACGAGCATGAAAGAAATGGCCGAAACGACGACAGAGGATGTTTATGATGATGCTTACGAGGAGAAACCGGGCCCGAGTCCTCCAGTGAAAATCGTATGGAGAAATGTTATATTAATGTCTCTTTTGCACCTAGGAGCTCTTTATGGTCTGATGATTCTTCCATCTGTCTCATCCTTAACGCTGATATGGAGTGAGTATGTTACTGTGTTAATTCTGATTCTATGAACTGACTGACGATTGTTAGCAACCTGGTTGTGTGTTTACTGTGTTTTTATTGTTATGGCCTAATCTTAATGTATAAAGAGACTGCATAATGTTGTATTGTCTGCAACTATTTGTTTTGTGTACAGATAGATAGATAGACACACGCACATAAATTATTTTATATAGGCTATACTTATAAGCCTAAACCATCCCCACCATAACCCTAATTTAATTTGGACTCAAAATGGTAAACATAGTAAACATTTAATTCAAAACATTTGTAAATACAATTGGCAACAAATATGGAAATAAGTCATATTAAATAAGTAAAATGTAAGTTAATAATTGTAATCAAATATAAAGTTGTTAGTTAATTTCACATTTATGGTCACTGAAAGTATTTTCTGCAATCTTCATGTGTCTAGTAGAAATACGTTGGAAATCGATTCATTAGTGGATTTTATGTATCAAATTAAACAGGAAAACCTGCTGATTTGTATTATATCAGTTCAGTCTTTTTAACATCCATGACATGAATATGAATCAAACTATAAATCAGACATGGCATTTAACTTTCTTAGTTCAAAATAGTTTTTTTTTTTTCTCATGTAAATCTTTAATAATTTTTACACTAACTTACAACTTGTATGATTTAAACTCTATCGCTCATGTGCAGTATAATTGGTTAAACTCAGCCACACTCCCCAGTTTCCCTTTCTTGTTTTGCAGGTATTTCCTCCCATAAGGGTAGAGGTGTTCTCCTCTTACAGATTCAAAGTCGTGATTACTGTTCTCAGATATGATCAATTATTGTGTCACGTTTGTTTCCGATAGCGAAAATATGTCAGGCCACTTTGTCTCAGCTAAATTTGTTATGCAGACCAATGCTAAAAGTGTTTTGTAAGCATGCATGTGTGTGAGTGATAGCGAGACAGTCCCGTGAATAATTTGAAATCCTACCAAAAACTATAACTGTGCTCCACTGTTGTGTACATTTTTGGCATCACAGGGCTGCATAATATTGCACCCTGTTGAACAAAGAACAATTGCTGCTGAAATAGGCTCTCCATTGTAAATTGAGCTGGGTCATGACAGTGTGCCCTTCTTCACAATCTGTGGCCTGGTATCCCACATCCCTTGCAGCCTTGTCTGACAACACACAGCGAGACATTTTGTTCTCTCATAGAGCAAATCAAGGGTGCACACACCGTTACACACTATAGAAGCTGTGTGTGGTTCAGACTAATTTGTTTTTAAGCATTCTGTTCTATTTTCTCTATTAATGTGACAGTGGGAGTGTGTTTCATGCTAAGTGCTCTAGGAATAACCGCTGGCGCCCATCGCCTTTGGAGCCACAGGTCCTACAAAGCCTCATTGCCATTACGAATCTTCCTAGCAACTGCGAACTCCATGGCTTTTCAGGTAAAACATTTTTAAGTGGATGAAACAATCTTCCACATTAAAGAATGCTGTAAACTCGAATACAGCTCAGATGGCGTAGTGGTTAAAGATCTGGGCTAATAGGTTCAAACCTCACAAGAGCCGAGCAATAGCCATTGTTCCCTTGAACAAAGCAATTAACCCCAGGATGTCCACCTGGAACTGTCCCTGTAATAAGTGTAGTGTAAGACACTTTGCATAAAAGCGTCTGCCAAATGACTACTTACACTTGCCATATGTGCATATATATATATATATATATATATATATATATATATATATACACACACACACACTGTATCTTAATCTTGCAGTTCCCTATCTGTTGGTCACTCCGAGTTATGTCGTGAGGTCATAGGGGGTTTACTTGAGAGCCCCAATCCACTCTGAATTTCAGAGAAAATGCCAATGAATTTTGGCTAGTGGATTTTGCATACCTGAGCCACTCCTCGTGCGTACGGGTATAGATAGGCGACAGGTGCATCCACTCATTCAGATTTTTGCTTCGGAGACAAGTGGGTGAATGATTTCTTCTCCACAAAGCCTTTCTGATCTGACTGGAAGAAAGAAACTGTTCCTGGTTGGCGTGACAGCACAAACAGCGGTGTCCCTGTTGATTCAGCAATTCCCCTGGGTGCTTCAACTAAAAGAGCAGCTTATCATCACTGACTTTTTAAAGATGCCGTTACGTCCTTGTTCTCTTGGTTGCGGTCGTTACCTGTCCTCTGTCGACGGCCACGAGCGTTGCCTTCAGTGTCTGGGCATCCAACACGCTGAAGCTGCGTTCGTGGATGACTCATGCATTCATTGCGAGCGTATGAGCATGGCTTCGCTGCTATCTTGCCTCTCTCTCCTCACGGGGAACGAAGCGGCACCCTCTGTCTCTACATGTCCCTGTTTCCCTGTCACAAGCAGGGGACCGCCGGCTAGAGCTCTGGGAGATCTGAGGGTCACAGTGAGAGCTTCTCCACTGGGCACGTCCCCACGGATCTCTCACTCCTTTTGCAGCGAATGTCTCATGCGGCTCCGAAGTAATTTCGCTGGCCCGGTTCGTGACGGTCCCAGCATTTCATTCGGTGCACCGTCGGAGGATCGGATGCCGATCGCAGCATCGGGGGATGGGCTATTGTCCTCCGAGGATGAAGATTCGGCGGGGCTGCCCTGCTCGGGTGTTGTCGCCACTGCCGAGTCAGACCCGGAGTTGACAGCCAAGCTTTCCAGGGCAGCAATGAGTATCGGGCTGGAGGTGAACACACTGCCCAGTCCAAGCCCTCACGGCTGGATGATTGATTTCTCAGCGCTTGGTGCAGCTCACAACCGCGCCGTGCACTGGTGCCTTTTTTCCCCGGAGGTGCATGAGGAGCTGACAAAGTCGTGGACAGCCCCTTTTTTGGCCAGAAGCCACTCGTCTCCCTCCTCTGTCCTCACTACTCTCGATGGCGGAGTGGCTAGGGGGTACGTAGACATTCCCCAGGTGGAGAGAGTGGTTGCGGTGCACCTGTGCCCGCAAAACGCCGCCACTTGGAGGAATCGTCAGTGTCTCCCGTCCAAAGTCTGTAAGCTGATGGCCGCTCTCGCTGCCAAAGCTTATGGTGCTGCGGGCCAGGCCGCCTCTGCCCTGCATGCCATGGCTATCAGTGTCTCCCGTCCAAAGTCTGTAAGCTGATGGCCGCTCTCGCTGCCAAAGCTTACGGTGCTGCGGGCCAGGCCGCCTCTGCCCTGCATGCCATGGCTATCCTGCAGGTCCACCAAGCCAAGGCACTCAAACAAATGCACGAGGGTAGTTCTGACCTAGGGTTGATGCAGGAACTGCGCAGAGCAACTGACTTCGCCCTCTGGGCGACGAAAGTTATGGCGCGGTCCCTTGGGAAGGCGATGTCCGAGGCCCAAGAGCGCCATCTTAGGCTTAACCTCACTGAGATGAGAGATGTCAACAAAGTGCGCTTTCTTGACGCTCCCATCTCGCAGGTTGGCCTATTCGGCGACACTGTCGAGGACTTTGCCTAGCATTTCTCGGCAGTGTAGAGATAGACTGAGGCCATCCAGCACATCTTGCCCCGACGTGATCCTCCAGCTGCCACCGCAGACCGCACCTCAGCCTGCTCGTCGGCGAGGGTGCCCCCCTGCATCCTCGGGAGCGCCTCCGCCCCGTGCTGAGACACCATCAAGGCCGGTGTGTCGAGCCTCTCGGAGGACTGTGACGCCCCCTGTATCCCAGCCGGCCCCTAAGTCCTCTAAAAAAACGACAAAGTGGCCCTGACACGGGCAACCCGGAGATGTGGGAAGCTTCTCTTTTTCAGGAGATGGCGAGAACAGCTCCACTCATTCCCCCAGAGGAGGGCCGGGCGGAGAATCCTTTGTTCCGTCTTGTTTCTGTTCCGCACCCACAATCAAAAAAAAGCCGTTTCCTTTTCCTCCGGGTTATCAGGCTCGTGGGTTGACAGTGAGCGACGCGCTGCCTCCTCACTTTCGCCCACGATGCCCCCTATCATCAGCAGCCTAGAGATCACTCTGGCCAGTCCCTCCGGGGACACGGGGAGTCCTGCTGTGATGAGCCAGGACACGATGCCTTCTGTTCCATCCAGCATGACTTCCCACCGCTGCACCACCGCGAGTGCGTCGATTGTCCCTTTGGTGCCACATGCACGGAGCTTGGAAGCATGGCTTGCGCTGCCCAACCCGTCCTGCTGGCTCATTCGGACAGGTCAACTCGGCTATGCGATTCAGTTTGCCAGGCGACCCCCCCAGGTTCAGTGGCATGGAGAATCCTTTGTTCCGTCTTGTTTCTGTTCCGCACCCACAATCGAAAAAAAGCAGTTTCCTTTTCCTCCGGGTTATCAGGCTCGTGGGTTGACAGTGAGCGACGCGCTGCCTCCTCACTTTCGCCCACGATGCCCCCTATCATCAGCAGCCTAGAGATCACTCTGGCCAGTCCCTCCGGGGACACGGGGAGTCCTGCTGTGATGAGCCAGGACACGATGCCTTCTGTTCCATCCAGCATGACTTCCCACCGCTGCACCACCGCGAGTGCGTCGATTGTCCCTTTGGTGCCACATGCACGGAGCTTGGAAGCATGGCTTGCGCTGCCCAACCCGTCCTGCTGGCTCATTCGGACAGGTCAACTCGGCTATGCGATTCAGTTTGCCAGGCGACCCCCCCAGGTTCAGTGGCATTCTCGAGACTTCGGTGGAAGCTCGAGATGCCCCTGTCCTGCGCGACGAGATTGCTGTCCTACTGGCGAAAGACGCAATCGAGCCTGTCCCTCCAGCCGAGATGAAGTCAGGGTTTTACAGCCCTTACTTCATCGTGCCCAAGAAAGGCGGTGGCCATCGGCCAATCCTGGATCTGCGTGTCTTGAATCCGGCCCTTCACAAGCTCCCATTCAAGATGTTGACGCAGAAGCGCATCATCAGATGCATCTAGCCCCAGGATTGGTTTGCAGCGGTCAACCTGAAGGACGCTTACTGTCATGTCTTGATTCTTCCTCGACACAGGCTGTTACTACAGTTTGCGTTCGAGGGTCGGGCATGGCTGTACAGGGTCCTCTCCTTCGGGCTGTCCCTGTCCCCCCGTGTCTTTACGAAGGTCACGGAGGGCGCCCTTGCCCCGTTATGGGAAGTGGGCATCAGGATCCTCAACTACATCAACGACTGGCTCATCATGGGCCGGTCACGAGAGCAGTTGTGCGATCACAGGGACCTGGTGCTCTGGCACCTCAGCCAGTTGGGGCTTCGGGTCAACTGGGAAAAGAGCAAACGCTCCCCCATGCAGAAAATCTCTTTTCTCAGTGTGGAGTTAGACTCTGTGAGTTTGACAGTGCGTCTGACCAACGAGCGCGCCCAGTCAGTGCTGAACTGAACTTCAGAGGAAGGAACGTGGTACCTCTGAAACATTTTCAGAGGCTCCTGGGGCATATGGCATCCGCAGCCACAGTCACGCCGCTCGGATTGCTTCATATGAGACCACTTCAACACTGGTTACACTCCCGAGTCCCGAGATGGGCATGGCGTCACAGTGCACTTCGTGTGACCATCACACCGGAGTTTCGCCACCTATTCAGCCCCTGGACAGACCTTGCCTTTCTACGGGCCAGGGTGCCCTTAGAACAAGTGTCCCGGCATGTCGTTGTCACGACGGATGCCTCCAGTACAGGTTGCGGCACTACATGCAACGGGCAGGCACCCTCTGGGCTCTCGACAGGGCCTCGACTGCTTTGGCACATCAATTGCCTAGAGCTGTTGGCAGTGCATCTGGCTTTGCGGCAGTTCCGGCCATTGCTGCAAGACAAGCACGTGTTGGTCCGCATGGACAACACTGCGGCTGTCTTGTACATCAACTGGCAGGGTGGTCTCCTCCTCTGGAGTCAGATGCGGCTCAAGTCGATGCACGCTGTCCACATTCTGGGGGAAATAGTGCAGCCGACGCGCTCTCACAACAGCTCACATTCTCTGGATAATGGCGACTCCATCCCGAGACAATCCGGCTGATCTTGAGTCAGTTCGCGGAAGCCCAGGTAGACCTGTTTGCTTCCCACAAGTCCTCCCACTGCCAGCTGTATTACTCCCTGACCGAGGCCCCCCTCGGCACGGATGCACTAGCACACAGCTGGCCTCGGGCACTACGCAAGTATGCGTTTCCTCCAGTGAGCCTTCTCGCACAGACACTGTGCAAGGTCAGGGAGGACGAGGAACAGGTCTTGCTGGTTGCGACTTACTGGCCCACCCAGACCTGGTTTTTGGAACTCATGGTCCTTGCGACAGCCCCTCCCTGGTGCATCCCTCTGAGGAAGGACCTCCTTTCTCAGGGGCTCGGCACCATATGGCACCCACGTCCAGATCACTGGGACCTCCATGTGTGGCTCCTGGATGGGATGTGGCAGACTTAAGTGATCTGCCACTGGCGGTGGTAAACACGATCACTCAGGCTAGAGCTCCCTCGATGAGGCAAGCCTATGCTCTGAAGTGGAGTCTGTTTGTGAACTA